AAAACTACCCTAGCGCCCAGGCAGGAGGATTGGTTAAGCCTAGGAGTTCTAGGCTAGCCTGGGCAACACAGGGAGACCCCACCTCTACAAAAATTAAAAATAGCTAGGTGTGGTGATGCATGTCTGTAGTCCCAGCTACTCGGGAGGATGAGGTGGGAGGATCGCTTGAGCCCAGGAGGTCGAGGCTGCAGTGAGCTGCAGTAGTGCCACTGCACTCCAGCCTGGGTGACGAAGTGAGACCCTGTCTCAAAAACCAAACCAAACCAAACCACCCTAGGCAGTAGATACATTTTGAAGATGAAGGAAGATGAAGACTGAGGCACAGAGAGGCTAAGCCACTTGCCTGAGGTCACACAGCTAGTAAAGTTGGCAGGGTCAGAGCGTGAACTCAAGGAGTCTATACATTACCCCTCCAACAGAACCGATGCCAGTGTCACTCAGGTGAACAAGGTTATGACACCCATCCACAGATTCAGAGAGCAGCTGAGAAAAACCTATTCATTTTCTGGGGCTGCCATAACAAAGTTCCACAAACAGGGAGGCAGAAATGTATTGTCTCAGTTACTGAAATCAAGGTGTTGGCAGGGTTGCTTTCTTCTGGGGCTCTGAGGGAGAGTCTGTCCCATGTCCCCCTCCTGGCTTCTGGTGGTGACCGGCAAGCCTTGGTGTGCCTTGGCTTACAAATGCATCACTCTAATCTCTGCCTCTGTCTTCACATGGCGGTCTACCCCTGTGGCCTCTGTGTCCACATTTCTCTTATAAGGACACCGGTCGTTGGATTAGAGATGCCCCCAATCCAGTATAACCCCCCCTAATTTGAGCATGTCTGCAAACACTGTTTTCTTTTCTTTCTTTCTTTTTTTTTTTTTTGAGACGGAGTTTTGCTCTTGTCACCCAGGCTGGAGTGCAGTGGCACGATCTCGGCTCACTGCAACCTCTGTCTCCTGGGTTCAAGCAATTCTTCTGCCTCAGCCTCTCAAGTAGCTGGGATTACAGGTGCGTGCCACCATGCCTGGCTAATTTTTTGTATTTTTGATAGAGGCGGGGTTTCACCGTGTTGGCCAGGCTGGTCTTGAACTCCTGACCTCAGGTGATCCGCCTGCGTCAGCCTCCCAAAGTGCTGAGATTGCAGGCGTGAGCCACTGTGCCAGGCCTTGTTTTGTTTTTGTTTTGTTTTTGAGACAGAGTCCTGCTCCGTCCCCCAGGCTGGAGTGCAGTGGTGTGATCTCAGTTCACTGCAACTTCCGCCTCCTGGGTTCAAGTGATTCTCCTGCTTCAGCCTCCTGAGTAGCTGGGACTACAGACACCCGCCACCATGCCCAGCTAATTTTTGTATTTTTACTAGAATTGGGTTACTCCATATTGGCCAAGCTGGTTTCGAACTCCTGTCCTTAACTGATCCACGCACCTCAGGCTCCCAAAGTGCAGGGATTACAGGTTTGAGCCACCACGCCTGGCCAGACCCTGTTTTCAAATAAGGCCACATTCCCAGGTACTAGGGGTTAGAACTTGAACATATTTTGGGGAACACATTGCAAACCACAACAAGAGATGAGGAAAAACTTCCCTCAGAGTCATTGAAGGGCACGCGCCCTGCAGGAACCTGGCCTGTCTGGCTGTCAGTGTTGGCAGCTTCTGGGGACACTGTAATAACAGGGTTTCGCTGGAGCGAGGAGTGCCTCTTGGTCGGGCATTTGTGATGAATCTTCTCTCTGATCCTGCAGGTGGTTTTAACAAAAACATCTCTTCGTTACCCAGTTGTTTGGAAATTCTTTGAAGATGCAAAGGTCCTTTTTGACACTGTAGTCTTCATATATAAAAAAAGTTCCTAATCCAAATTCTTCAGGTTTTCAGAAAAGCAAAAAAAAGGCCCTGTGCCCTTGAGATTTCCAGACAGTTCCCTTTGTTTATCTGCAGGACCTGTCTGGGGAGGCATGGCAGGGACCTCAGAGAGCTAGGAAGGAGGGGAGGATGTGGTTTGCCTGTGTATGTAGGAGAGAGACACTTAGATGTTGGTGTAGACACCTCCAGAGAAACTCGGGGACAGATGAACACGTAAGCAAGAGAGACCTACAGGGCCCAGGGGTGAAGGCATAGAGTTCTGTTCCTAGATACTCACATGGCACCCTCCCTGCCCCTCCGTCACCTCCCTGGGTTTTTGCCTATCATCACCTTGCCAGTGAGATCTTTCTTGGCCCCTTATCCAGAATTGCAACCATGACCCCGTTGCTACCCCCATTCCCCTTCTCCACAGACATTGGTTAAATGTATGAACCCAGAGAGATGCCCACAGTGAGGCCTGTGTTGGGTGCCCTGTCCTGAGCAGGGTCTCTCTGGGGGGACTGGGCTGGGGGCTCAGGGACCAGGAGAAACCAGTCTGTCTGGTTCAAATACAGGAACGAACCTTCCTTGTTCTAGGGCAGAAACCGAGGCGGCTCCCCAGGCACAGAGCCAGGCAGCACAGCCAGAAGAACGCCAGCAATTCCCACTGCTTATCCTCCAGCTTCATCTGGACGCTGCGTTCGCTGATCTGGAAACCAGGGGTGGGGCTGGAGCACAGGGCAGGGCAGGGCAGGGCAGGGACAGGGGGAGCCTGGGTGCCCAGCCCAGCCTGGCTCTTGGAGCCATCTGAAGTGTCCTCACTTTTTACACTTCACTAAATAACTCATAGTAGCGCAGGTTCCAAGGAAGCACAGATCTGGGTTCCCGCCCTTCCCTATCCTTTAAAAATTTTTATTTATTTTTTGAGATAGGGTCTCTGTCACCCAGGCTGGAGTGCAGTGGTGCGATCATGGCTCACTGCAGCCTTGACTTCCCGGGCTCCATTGATCCTCCCACCTTAGCCTCCCAAGTGTCTAGGACCACAGGCACATGCCACTATGCCCAGCTAAATGTTGTATTTTTGGTAGATATGGGGTTTTCCCATGTTGCCCAGGCTGGTCTCGAACTCCTGAGCTCAAGTGATCCACCCACCTCAGCCTCCCAAAGTGCTGGGATTCCAGGTGTGAGCCACTGCACCCGGCCTCCTGCCCTGTCCTTTACCCACAGTCACCACAGGCACATCACCTCCTGAGATTCCCTTTGGAAGATGGGGATAACAAACAGAACATTTGAGGAGGGTCTGGTGATGGAGGAATCAATGAGACGTGTCTGGCACAGAGTGGGAGGGCAGTGAGGGGCTGTTGTGGTCTAGGCTGTGAGTCATGGGACAGGTGATTGATAGGCGTATGATAGTGGAAACCCGAATTGGTCTTTTCTTGATTTTTGGTCCATTGCATTTTCTGACTTTTCTTTAGTTAGTTGGAAGCAGGCAACACAGTGGCAGCAGAGGCCCATAAAGAATTGGCTTTCAATGAAAAAATAATTGTTTATCCAGGACACGCCCAGTTCTCACCTGGAGAAGGGACAGAGGCGTGCTGCCTGAAGTGTTTGTTCTCCTTCAGAACACTGGCCTCCTCCCCGGCTCTGGGGGTTCGTGGCCTCTCCAGGTGTAGCTGTTGTGAGACATCTTGCCCTGGGTCCACACTCGTAAGGGCTCTGCCCCCAGCTTGGTGTGTGACAGCGGTGTGCGGCTCCGCCCTGGCTTCCTCACCTGCCTACCCTTACCTGGCCTGCTTGTGGCGGTGAAAGGAGGGTGCTGACGGGCAGCAGAGGCTGATAGGGTGCTGTGTGTGGGGGGGGGATGGGTCCCTGGAGCTTCACCCCAGTGTGGGGAGGAGCAGTTGCTGAGCCCTGGAGAGAGGGACACTTTCCCTGGGCCTCCTACTTTGGGCTGAGCCCCTTACTTGGGTTGGGGGGCGGGGCAAGGCCAGGGGCAATTCACAGATGGACACCTGCTTCTTCTTATTTTGTTAATTTAATTTTAATTTTTACTTAATTTTAATTTTATTTATTTTAGTTTATTTTGAGGGTCTTGCTGTTGCTCAGGCTGGAGTACGGTGGCATAGTCATGGCTCACTGTAGCGTCAACCTCCCAGGTTCAAGCGGTCCTCCCCCTTCAGCCTCCCGAGTAGCTGAGACCACAGGCACACCACCACCACACCCGGCTAATTTTTAAATTATTTGGTAGAGATGGGCTCCCTGTATATTGCCCAGGATGGGGTCTTGAACACCTGGGCTCAAGCAATCCTCCCACCTTGGCCTCCCCAAATGCTGGGATTACAGGCATGAGCCACCACACCCAGCCCCCGCTTCCTCTTTTTTTTTTTTTTTTTAGATGGAGTCTCGCTTGATGCCCAGGCTGGAGTGCTAGAGTGCAGTGGTGCGATCTCGGCTCACTGCAAGCTCCGCTTCCTGGGTTCACGCCTTTCTCCTGGTTCAACCTCCCGAGTAGCTGGGACTACAGGCGCCCACCACCACACCTGGCTAATTTTTTGTATTTTTAGTACAGACGGGGTTTCACCGTGTTAGCCAGGGTGGTCTCGATCTCCTGACTTGTGATCTGCCCGTCTCGGCCTCCCAAAGTGTTGGGATTACAGGCGTGAGCCACCGCGCCCGGCCATCCCGCTTCCTCTTTTAATACACAGCACCTGTGCAGGGCAGGGTTCTGATCTCTGTCACAGATGAAGAAACAGAATTGTTAGCTCCTAAGCACATTGTGTATTTAGCGTATATTATGTGTCGGGCACTGTTGGGCACTGAAGATATAGCAATGAACAAAATCCAGAATCTTCCTCGGAGAGCAGGGAAGGTGCTCGGTCAGCGTCACACAGCCACACAGCTTTTGACTTCCAAGCTCCAGACCCCACCTGCCACTTCCCCAATGGGCCACACCCTTCCCGAGCCAGACCCTTGGGGCATGGGGAGGAGGTGGAGGAAGGAGGGTTGTGAGGGCTGAGGGCTCCCTGGGCCAGCTCAGCTACAGGCCCCCCAGTCTTGTCCCTGGCTTCTGTAGGGATCCACGCAGGAGCTTCCCTTCTGGTCCTCGGCGAGGGTGCTTTTGGGTGGGGTGCCTGGCAGGCACCCCAGCTCTGGCTGTGCTCTGGGCCCGGGGCCCTCAGGTGCTCTAGGGGCTGGTGGCAGCCCCTCAGCTGCTGGAAGCAACCAGGACTTTCTGTCTCCAAAGCCTAGCAGCCAGAGGAGGGACCTGCTCCGGAACCGCTTCTCTGATCCCACTGACTTGTCCTTGGGCTGGTGGCAAGGTCACTACGCAGCCTTGGTGCCATGTACCTGGGTGCTGACTAGGGGAAAAAGAGGACGCTTCTGTGTGTCTTGATTGGCAATGGAGCCTTTCTCCAAAGCTAGACCCTTGTGTCCTCTCTGTGGCCAGGGATTCCAGAGAGTGCCCTCATGGAGAAGTGGGGGTGGGTAGGAGGGACTGGGGAGGCCCAGGATGGCCACATCCGAGGTGCCTCTGGGGAACCTCCAGGAGCTCCCTGGGCCCTGCCTCTGCAGGCCCTTTGCTGGCCCACACCCGAGACAGTCTGCATGGTGAGTCGACAAACCTGCCTGCAGAGAATTCTCTGCGGCTGTGAGGACTGGGGCCTGTGCAGTCTACCTTGGACTTGGGGAATAATAATTAAAAAAACACTTCTGTTGCAGTCATTTATGTGCATGAACTTGTGGGTCCTCATAGTAGCTCTACGAGGTAGGAATGATCATTATACTCATTTGATAAGCAAGGGTGATTATACACTTGCCCAAGGCCACACAACTGGTAAGGAGAGCCGGGATCGAAGCCAGGCAGCTGGGCTCCAGAGTCCATGCTGTTAGCCACTACCCATGCTCTGCTGGGATGGTCGGGCCCATCCTGCCACTTGGGAACGGCATGACAGGTAGGCCCCTTGGCTTCCTGGAGGCCCAGTTTCACCTGTGAGATGGCAACACCAGTATAGAAGGGCATCTGGGAGAGCCAGAGACGTGGGGTGTCAGGCAGAGGCCCTGGTGATGTTCTCTGCTGGGCCCAGCTGGGAGGGAGGACACAGGGCTGTTGTCTTCCCGCCTCTGGGACTGTGGTGACTTGAACTTTCTTTCAGCAGCTTTTACTGAGCCCCTGGCAGGGCCTAGGTCCTGTGCTGGGTGTGGGGACGCAGCTGTGAGACAGCCACGGCTGTGCCCTCGTGGAGCTCGCAGTCTGGGGCAGGGAACGATTATGACCCTGGATGGCGGGTGCCTGGGGGGCCCTGTGAGTGCTGACGAGGGCTCTGGGATGCAGTCTGGAGGTGTGGGGGTGTCCTGGAGCACCTGACATCTCAGCTGAGACCTGGAAGAGGAGTGTGAGTACAGGTCAGGGCCCCAGTACAGTGGTGTACCGCATGAGCCAAATCAGCATTCCTTTTTTAAATTTTTTCTGTTTTTTGAGATAATTTCACTCTGTCTCTGAGGTTGGCTTGTGGTGGCATGATCATGGCTCACTGCAGCTTCTAACTCCTGGGTCCATGTGATCCTCTGCTTCAGCCTCCTGAGTAGTTGGGAGCACAGGTACACACCACCATACCTGGCTAACTATTATTTATTTATTTATTTATTTATTTGAGATGGATTTTCACTTTTGTCACCCAGGCTGGAGTGCAGTGGCGTGATCTCAGCTCACTGCAACCTCTGCCTCCCAGGTTCAAGCAATTCTCCTGTCTCAGCCTCCCAAGTAGCTGGGATAACAGGCACGCGCCACCACGCCCGGCTAATTTTTGTATTTTTAGTAGAGACAGGCTTTCACCATGTTGGCCAGGCTGGTCTCAAACTCCTGACCTCAGGTGATCCGCCCACCTCAGCCTCCCAAAATGCTGGGATTACAGGTATGAGCCACTGCACCCGGCCTTAATTTTTCTGTAGAGATGGGGACTTGTTCTGTTGCCCAGGCTGGTCTTGAACTCCTGGCCTCCAGCGATTATCACACCTTGGGCTCCCAAAGTGCTGACATTACAGGCATGAGCCACTGTGCCTGGCCAATATTTCTTAGCTAGATGAGAAATGAAACCACATCTCTGGCCGACCCTGCCCTGTCTGACCCTCCTAGGTGCTGGGGCTGCTGGTGTGGGCGCTGATTGCGGACACCCCGTACCACCTGTACCCGGCCTATGGCTGGGTGATGTTCGTCGCTGTCTTCCTCTGGCTGGTGACAATCATCCTCTTCATTCTCTACCTGTTTCAGCTGCACATGAAGTTGTACATGGTGCCCTGGCCACTGGTGGTGAGTCTGGGTGGGGGTACTGGAAGTGGCTATGACAGGACCACTGTGACTTTCCCTAAAAGAAGTGGCAGGGTATGGGGGGTCTCCTGACATCCTCACTGACCTAAGCTGGTCTGCAGAGCCAGGGGTGGAGGTAAGGACTGATGGTTCAGGGGTCCAGTTGTTCTATTTTTCCTTTAAAACAGTGTCTCACTATGTACAGACTGGAGTGCAGTGGCTCGATAATGACTCACTGCAGTCTTGAAGCCCTGAGCTCAGGTGATCCTCCCATCTCAGCCTCCCCAGTAGCTAGGACTACAGGCACGTGCCACCATGCCCTGCTAATTTTTTTTTTTTTTTTTTGTAGAGGAGGGGGTCTCACTATATTGCCCAGGCTGGTCTTGAACTCCTGGGCTCAAGCAGGTCTCCCACTTTGGCCTCCCAAAGTTCTGGGAGTACAGGAGTGAGCCACCACGCCCAGCCTAGGTGTACGGTTTTTTGGGGAACTATGAGCCAGGACGGACACAGGCTTGACTTTGTCCCAGGAGGAGAGTAGAAGTGAGGGGCTGTTGAGTGGATTTACAAGAGGCCATTTGGAATCTTAAAAATATTTTTCCCGGCCGGGTGTGGTGGCTCACACCTGTAATCCTAGTACTTTAGGAGGCTGAGGCGGGTGGATCACCTGAGGTCAGGAGTTTAAGACCAGCCTGACCAATATGGTGAAACCCCATCTCTACAAAAAATACAAAAATTAGCCAGCTGTGGTGGTGCACACCTCTAGTCCCAGCTACTCGGGAGGCTGAGACAGGAGAATTGCTTGAACCTGGGAGGCAGAGGTTGCAGTGAGCTGAGATCGTGCCTGGGTGACAGAGCAAGACTCCACCTCCAAAAAAAAAAAAAAAATTTTTTTTTCCTTCTCCGGATGGTCAGAATTTGTGCCTGTGTTGTGTGGGTTTGTGAGATTCTAGCGGGCCCAGGCAGGCAGCCCTGTGGCTGGAGGCTGGGGGCAAGCTGTCAGATGTTGCCTAGGCCAGGGCCTCACGTGTGCAGGACAAGCTCGGGCACCCGGCTGCTTGCAGGTGAGGCTCTGAGGCCTGGGAGAGGCTGGTCTCCCCAGGTTTGCCCCAGGACAGTCTTCCCAGGACACAGGGCTGAGAGCGGACATGGGAAGTACCCTGGCCAGACACACAGAAAGCTGCTGGTTTTTTTTTTTTCCTCTGACCCGGAAAACCCCTGCAGCTGGGGTCTGAGGCTTTCAGTGAGAAGAGAGGCGAGAAAGGCACATGATTGTAAGACAAGCAAGGCTGGGACTAGGCAGCATTGTTTGGAATTCAATGACTTTTTAAACCGAGGAAACGTGAGTCATCCTCAAGACAGAATGGGTTTGTTAGATCTTGACATCCCTGGCAGAAACAGGCAGCGTTTGCAGGGGTCGCTGGGCTTGCAGGGAAGATTTTGGGGCAAGGAGGCGGCACCCTGATTTCCGGGCTCAGGGTCCACCCCTCCCTCATGTCCCAGGAGCCTCTAACAGAGAAATCTCTGGAGATAAAAGCCTGTGTGTCTCTTAGGTGCAGATCTGGGGCTCCAGCCGTGGCTGTTAATGGAAGGAGGCTCCCTTCTGCCACAATGGCAGGGCATTGCTTCTTATGCTTCTGGACCCTCAACGAATGGAGCAGAGAGGGCTTAACTGCATCTAGAGAAGGCTGGATTAGCATGGCCAACTTGGGATTTTCTGGCATGGGGGCTACAGACCCCTACAGGATCCAGGCAAGATGTATGAGTGAATTGGGTCAGGAGGGACCCTGGAGAAGCCAGCATCCATCTGCCCATCGTAAGCTGCCTATACTCACTTCATCTGTTGCTAGTGGGAGTGCAAACCCCTTGGCGCAGAATCTTTTGATATCTTAAGATTTCTTTTTTTTTTTAGACAGAGTCTCCCTCACTGTGTCGCTCAGGCTGGAGTACAGTGGTGTAATCTTAGCTCACTGCAACCGCTGCCTCCTGGGTTCAAGTGATTCTCCCGCTTCAGCCTCCTGTGTTGCTGGGATTACAGGCGTTCACCACCACTCTTGGCTGATTTTTGTGTTTTTATTGGAGATGAGGTTTCATCATGTTGGCCAGGCTGGTCTCTAACTCCTGACCTCAAGTGATCTGCCTGCCTTCGGCCTCCCAAAGTGCTGGGATTACGGGCATGAGGCACTGCACCTGGCCAAGATTTATT